CCGCACAAAGACTTAAAAAACAACAACAACTTACCACAAAGGCTAACTTTGTTGTTTACAGACACATTTCACCGCCACTTTTAATTTTGACGATTGAAGCAATGCTTACCAGCACAAATTTCAACAACTGACTGAAAAATTCTCTACCGTCGGAATCCAGAAAAATAACGTCAAGCCCGTCACTCTCGTCAAGCATTGCTTGGCAAATATTTTATTTCCACGACAAAAGGACTCTAAAAATGCTTCTATCACTCAAAAAGCTCAAAAGCCAGCTCTTAGACCGATATTTACTACTTTGCCCTGAACTTGTAAACGAAGAAAGAACTTCCCCGATTTTAAGAACAGCGTAACCCTAGGCCGTGCAGGTTAACTAGGAATAACCGATGAGTTACAGCAAGAAGAGACCAAACGCCCCTGGAAAAATAATAATCTCCTTTATTTCATCAGGTTAGACAAAATAGAATATTGTGATTGACAGATACGATTGGTAATTAGTCTTTCAAGACGACTTCCTGTTTAGACAGATGGTTTGCTATTGGTTTACAGAAAGACGAATCAAAAACACCTTTCCTCACGTTCTTTTCGTAATCTAACTTTGCACCCGTGTTCCCGCGGGGCCTGTAACGGGCGACAAAGTACAGACACTGCAGATTTTTGACTCGACCATATGCGATTCCGACCCCGAGCTTCTGGCTTCCATTCCACGTCAGTTGCGTGAAATGCCTGTGACCGAATCTATCTGACAGGGGTTCGTGGAATTTGTAATTGCATCCCTCGTCATACCTAGTAAACAACAAGAGCCGAGGGTCAAAAACGTATGTCTCAATACTCCTCCACAAATTTTCCTCCTAATGTTAACACGAATCGCTACCAAATGTACAATAAATTCAGGATTAAATAATTCTACAGAGCAAAAAAGACATCGTAAAGGCGACGGAGTGCATAATGCAGGTTTTCAAAGGGTGGCAGTATCGTCGAACTTCAAGGATCAGGATTAGGAAATATATTTTTTAACGTTTCGCTAATGACACTGGGGTATGTTAATTATATGTATAATTCGTGTTAACTGTAGAACTATTTAGGCGTGCTTGCAGGTATGATGTATCCCTAGGGGCTAGTAGGCTATTTAAGATTTTGTAAGTTACGCAAGAGCCACTCGAAGGCATCTCTTTCAACTTTGCTTTGTTGTTTATTCACTGCTGTAATTTCTTTATGGTGATAATGTAAACGCTGGCTGTATCAATAAACGAGATGCCCGCCCCTGATGCTGTGTTTGTGTTTATTAAGATTAGTCCCAAAATATTTTATAATCGTTTCAAGGTGATTAGAGTATTTCTAAGATCGAAGTTGATTCCGGTTCATTAATTATAATTACAAATTATTTTGTGAGAGGATGTCAACAGAATCATAGATTTACATTCTGGTGATATTTTTGCGTCCTCATTTTAGACAATGTTTTTCTTTTTAGCTGGTTTTTGTTTGCCTTTATTGCTTTTTGCGCTGCAATCGTTCACGTATTTCAAATCAGATTCGAGATGATGACACAGACATAGAGCGCGGCTGGGCCCGACAAGAAAGGGTGGGTGTGAGCAACCTCAAAATAATTGTTGACCTCTGCAAAATTTCATAACTAGTGAGGGAGCTTATTGCCTAGAAGCCTTGATGGAGATTAAAAGAGATGTGGATTTAGGTCAGCTTACAGCATTATCGCAATCTGCTTACCATCGTTTCATGATCTGTCTTAGCGCTCTCGAAGGATCAGGTCGAGTTATAGAGCACCGAAATCCCAGGTTTTCTCCTTCATCCTTGGATGTAAGCACAGAGTCCTGTTCAGGTCTTAGCAACTGACTTTTAGCCACTTTGTAGGCGTACTCTTGAGCGTCTTTTCGGAGACTGTCATCGAGGGACAGAAGAGGTGCTTCGTGTATTGAGCGATAGTAGTTATGCAACTCTAAGGCTGTCCGATCTACATCAGGAGCTAAATGACATTTAAGAATAAATAAATCACCGTCATTGATGATAGAGGGGATGTTTCAATGTGTAAACTTACAACAGAGGAACAGCATACATGTAACTGTAATCATAGTTACTAGAGGGGAATGGCGATGAAACCCGACCGTGAAATTTCTTTGTTTTAGGTTTTTGTTCCCTTTTTTGGCCTTGACCGTGCACAAAACAATACAGAATAATACATACAAAACAATACAGCGAACACAGAACAATACAGCAAATACAGAACGCTAATCGATCGGCTGCTTGTCAGAGTCACCGCGCGAACTGAATTCAGACGAGTGTAGCCTGGGCTAAACTTAACACAAATTGAAAAGGGGGTGGTGGGGGCGGTCGATAAATAATGAAAAAAATACCTAAATAAATGAAGCATGTGGCAAGGGGTTTCTACATTTCATGCTAGGTAAGATTAACAAGCTGCTGTCATAGCGAAAGCAAAAATAAATAAATAAATAAATAAAAAATAAACGAACAAATATATCAAAAAACACTTGATTCAGTCTTTAACGCCGTTTTCATAAATCGAGACATATATTTCAAGGGAGCAAGACTGGATGACCCAGAAAGGCCGAAAAACTAGCGTGTCTAATTCTGTCGATCTTTCTAAAACATCTAGAGTCAAACTAGGGAATTCCCTGATCAGTTTCGGACATTCTCTACCAATAAATGTCTGAGTTTATGAAAACCGTGTTAAAGACTTTCCACCAAAATAGCGGGCATGTAGTTTTTGGAAAATCGGTCAGATATATAGGGGCCCTAATGGGCGCCTGCAAATATATATCTGCTTCATTAGGCTTCACTCAGTCAATCATCAACATGATCATACATTTGTTTCCGACCTAGTTAAGTCCAAGCAAGATTAAGAGCCAGAGAGCATGGATTCTAAGGATTTGTCACATGATTTTGATTGGTACCTTGGCACTTAAAATAACCAAAAAGACGTTTATTTCACTCACACATTTTCGAGTTTGCTGAGCTTCCCTTGTCAGGATACATTGGTGCGGCTGATGTGGCTGTTGTGGCTGGTCCGGGTGTTGTGGATGGCGCAGTAGTGACGCTTCCTCCCCCGCTGGAGGCCGTTGTTGAACCCGAAGGTGTGGTCGGATTCTGGCCTGACGCAGTAGCAGTGCTTGCTCCAGGCGCTGCGGAAGTAGACACCGCTGGCGTGCTTCCAGCGGGCGCTGGGGTTGATCCGGCCGCAGGTCCACTCGAGCTGGTGGGGATAGTCATCGAACTGGGGACCTGTACGTTGTTAGCTTCCACATGAATGTCCATGGACAATTTTCCAGAGACTAATGAACCGCCTCCTGAGACTGTAAACTTTGTACTCGCTTAGGAAAAGATTGAAGAGTGCATTTAAAACAAATTAAAATCAGTTCAAATCAAATAAAAGAAT